CTTGCAGGCAGCATGTGGCGGTAGTCATGAAAACACCCCAGTGTCTTGGAGGGGCTGAGGCTGGAGGGGCACTGGAGCCCAGGAGTTCCACACCGACCTGGGCAACATAGCAAGACCCCCGTCTCTGTTGCAAAAATTAGCCGGGCATGCTGGCGCATCTGTAAGCCCAGCTACCCGCCTGAACCCCGGAGGCGGAGGTTGCAGTGAGATCACGTCACTGCCGTCCAGCCTGGCAACAGAGCGAGACAGTCTCAAAAAAAAAAAAAAAGAAAAAGAAAAAAAATATCCGACTACCTTGGGAGGCTGAGGTGGGAGGATTACTTGAGTCCAGGAGTTTGAGACCAGCCAAGGCAACATGGTGAGTGAGACCCCATCACTGCAAAAATAAAAATAAAAATTAGCCAGGCGTGGTGGTTCGCACCTGTAGTCCCAGCTACTCGGGAGGCTGAGGTGGGAGAATCGCTTGAGCCTGGGAGTTCAGGGCCCAAGTCACCTAAGATTGTGCCCCTGCTCTGCAGTGAGAACCCCATCTCTTTTTATTTTTTTGAGACAGGGTCTTGCTCTGTCACCCAGGCTGGAGTGCGGGGTGGCGCGATCTTGGCTCACTGCAACCTCTGCCTCCCGGGCTCAAGTGATGAGACCCCCTATCTCTAAAAGACAAAAAAAAGTAATAAAAAGGACAATAGCAATGTGAGTTGTAACCACAACGATGGCCGCATTAATAATAACGTAGCCCTTTGAGAGGTGGGGGGAGGAGCTGGGGGAGAGGTGCAGGTTTCTGTGTTAGGGAGGGGTCATCCCTTTGCGAAACGCGCAGCCCAGCGCGGTCAAGGCAGGGAGAAGGAAAGGCGGCTTTGCTTCTCTTTGTCTTCGTTCTCCTCGAATTTATTCCACCTTGCGGCTGAGAAACCAGCTCCCAGATGTTTTTAGTTTGTTTTATTTATTTTATTTTTATTTTTTTAAGATGGAGCCTTGCTCTGTCGCCCAGGCTGGAGTGCAATGGCGCAATCTCGGCTCACTGCAACCTCCACCTCCCGGGTTCAAGCGATTCTCCTGCCTCAGCCTCTCGAGAAAGCTGGAATTACAGGCACGCGTCACCACGCCCAGCTAATTTTTGTATTTTTAGTAGAGACGGGGTTTCACCATGTTGGCCAGGCTGGTCTCGATCTCTGGACCTCGTGATCCACCCGCCTCAGTCTCCCAAAGTGCTGTGAGGCATGAGCCACCATACCTGACTATTTTTAATTTTTTTAGAGAGAGGGTCTTACTCTATCCCCCAGGCTGGAATGCAGTGGCACCATCATGGCTCACTGCAGCCTTGACACCAAGGCTCAAGCGAACCTCCCACCTCAGCCTCCTAAGTAGCAGCTGGGACTGCAGGTGCAAACCACAAGAATTGTGCCCAGCTAATTATTTTTGCAATTTTTAGTAGAGACGGGGTTTCCCCATGTTGGCCAGGCTGGTCTCAAACTCTAGGGCTCAGGAGACCCTTCCACCTCTGCCTCCCAAGTAGCTGGGACTACAGGCGCGTACCACGAAAATTATGCCCAGCTAATTTTTGTAGGGATGGGGTTTTGCCGGCCAGTCTCAGCGGCTCACACCTATCATCCCAGTACTTTGGGAGCCGAGGCAGGCTAATCCCCCGAGGTCAGGAGTTCCAGACCAGCCTGGCCAACATGGCGAAACCCCATCTCTACTGAAAACACAAAAAGTAGCCGGGCATGATGGCACGTGCCTATGATCCCAGCTACTCAGGAGGCTGAGGCAGGAGAATTGCTTGAACTTGGGAGGCGAAGGTTGCCGTGAGCCAAGATCACGCCGTTGCACTCCAGCCTGGGTCACAAGAGTGGAGCTCCATCTCAAGAGAAAAAATAAAGAGATGGGGTTTTGCCATGTTGCTCAGGCTGGGTTTGAACTCCTGGCCTCAAGTGATCCACCCACCTCAGCTTCCCAAAGTGCTGGGATTACAGGCGTCAGCCACAGTGCCAATTCCCAGATCCCAACTGTTATGCTGACTCAGTTTCCCTTGCTGGACACTGACAAGAATGGGAGGGGCTTCCCCACACGCATACAGGGAGCAGGGGACCTCCCACTTCTCCATAGGCCTCTCCAAGGGGCAGCTGTCATTTTCGTGGAGAAGTCAAATGGGTGCAGATTCCAGTCCCACCTCTGCCCCTCCATGGCCAGGTTCCCCCTCAAGGCCTCAGTTTCCTCATCTGTAGCATGGGTGTTCTGGCCGCCCTCAGACACCAATGCGTCATGACTGGGAGTGGGTTGAAGACCCAGCCCTGGCCCTGTCTCAGCACGTCCCCAGCCCTCGGCTTTTCCATCTCCATAACAGGTCTACGGGGAACGGGGTGGCCCCTCCCCGGCTCTGAACCTTCGTGGCTGAGCGTCTGCGTCTCTGCTCTGTTTCTGTAACAGCACAGCAGGTTCATGGAAAGGGGAAAGCGGGGAGAGGACCCCTACTTGGGGTGCTCTCCTCCCCCTGCCTAATTCTGGTGCATTTGAATCTCTTATCAACCTCACCTGTCCTGGCTCCTGCAGTGGCTCCGTCAAGAAGTCCACCCACCCCTCCATCAGCCCCGACCTCCAGGCAGCCCTCATGTCTGCCTGTGGCCCTCAGCCAGGCCTGTCTGCACGTCTGCTCTTCAGAAACAAGCTTTTTTACAATTTTTGTTTGTTTGTTTGAGATGGAGTCTGTCCCCCAGGCTGGAGTGCAATGGCATGATCTCAGCTCACTGCAATTCTCCTGCCACAGCCTCCCAAGTAGCTGAGATTACAGGCATGTGTCACCACACGTGGCTAATTTTTTTTGTATTTTTAGTAGAGACAGGGTTTCACCATATTGGCCAGGCTGGTCTCGAACTCCTGACCTTGTGATCCACCCGCCTTGGCTTCCCAGAGTGCTGGGATTACAGGTGTGAGCCACAGTGACCAGCTAAGACTGCCTTTTTTTTTTTTTTTTTTTATTTTTTTTTTTTTTTTTTTTTTTTTTTTTTGAGGCTGGAGTGCAGTGGTGAGATCTCGGCTCATTGCAACTTCTGCCTCCCGGGTTCAAACGATTTCCTGCCTCAGTCTCCTGAGCAGCTGGGACTACAGGCCCGTGCCACCGTGCCCGGCTAATTTTTGTACTTTTAGTAGAGATGGGGTTTCACTATGTTGTCCAGGCTGGTCTCAAACTCCTGACCTTAAGTGATCTGCCCGCCTTAGCCTCCCAAAGTGCTGAGGCACCGCACCTGCCTCATTTTTTTTTTTTTTTTGAGTCAGGGGTCTCACGTTGTAACCCAGGCTGGAGTGCACTGGTGCAGTCTTGACCCACTGTGGCCTTAACCTCCAGGGCACAATTGATCCTCCCACCTCAGCCACCCAAGTAGCTAGGACTGCAGGCATGCACCACCACGCCCAGCAAAGCTTTGATTTTGTAGAAATGGGGCCTCACTATGTCATCCAGGCTGGTCTTGAACTCCTGGGCTCAAGCAGTCTACCCACGGTGGCCTCCCAAAGTGCTGGCATTCCAGGTGTGAGCCACCATGCTTGACTGCCCACCCTAGTTCTTTTTTTTCAGACGGAGTTTTGCCCTTGGCACCCAGGCTGGAGTGCACTGGTGTGATCTCGGCTCACTGCAGCCTCCTCCTTCCGGGTTCAAGCGATTCTTCTGCCTCAGCATCCTAAGTAGCTGGGATTACAGGTGTGTGCAACCATGCCTGGCTAATTTTTTGTATTTTAGATAGAAATGGGGTTTCACCATGTTGGCCAGGCTGGTCGGGAGCTCACCTCAGGTGATCCACCCACCTCGGCCTCCCTAAGTGCTGGGATGACGGGTGTGAGCCACCATGCCCAGCCTTTAAAAACATTTTTTTTGAAACAGGGTCTTGCTCTGTCACCTACGCTGGAGTGCAGCCATCGCAGCATTAAACTCCTGGGCTCAAATAATCCTCCCACCTCAGCCTCCCGACTAGCTGGGACTACAGGTGCCAACTACCAGGCCTGGCTAGTTTCTGTTTTGTGTGTGTGTGTGTGTATGTGTATGTGTGCGTGTATGTGTGTGTGTTTGTGTGTGTATGTGTGTATGTGTTTGCGTGTGTGTGTGTATGTGTTTGTGTATGTGTGTATGTGTGTTTGTGTGTGTATGTGTGTGTGTTTGTGTGTATGTTTGCGTATGTGTGTGTGTATGTGTGTGTGCGTGTGTGTGTGTGTGCGTACGTGTGTATGTTTGTGTGTGCGTATGTGCGTATGTGTGTATGTGCGTGTGTGTGTGTATGTGTGTGTATGTGTGTATGTGTGTTTGTATTTGTGTGTGTGTGTGTGTATGTGTTTGTGTGTCTATGTGTCTATGTGTGTGTGTATGTGTTTGTGTGTGTATGTGTGTCTATGTGTGTGTGTGCATGTGTGTGTGCGTGTGTGTGTGCGCGTGTGTTGGTTGTTTTTGTTTGTTTTGTAGGGATGGAGTTTTACGGTATTGCTCAGACTGGTCTCAAACTCCTAGGCTCAAGCAATCCTCCTTCCTCGGCCTCCGCAGCGCTGGCATGACAGGCGTGAGCCATTACACCCAGCCCAGCCTTAGCTGTAATAGGCCCAGAATAGGTCCACGACGTCTGTGTTCTCCCAGCCTCAGTTTTACGCGTCTGTACAATGAGTCTTCCAGGAGCCTCCAGCTGACCCCCTTTGCTTGCTCCGTCTGTGTACTGGGGTTCAAGATGGTCCAGCACAAACTCCTGTCGGCTTGTGCCTCTCACTTAGTCCAAGTCTCAGTTTGCTCATCTGGGCAATGGGTACTTGCAGGTCTCTGATAAACTCCTCCTGGGTCTCCCTGGCCTTCCATTCACCCCCAGTGGCATGCACGGGTCTGTGGGACCCCCCTGCCCACCTCTGCCAAGCCCCCCCCCCCCACTCTGCGGTCTGTCCAGGGCCCCTCCGACCTCAGCCTTCGGGGCCGGGGGGTGGGTCCACCCTCCACGTCCCTGGCGCCCCTGACCTCTCGCCTGTCCGGCCCGCAGGATGAGTTCCACCCGTTCATCGAGGCCCTGCTGCCTCACGTCCGCGCCTTCGCCTACACCTGGTTCAACCTGCAGGCGCGGAAGCGCAAATACTTCAAGAAGCACGAGAAGCGGATGTCAAAGGACGAGGAGCGCGCGGTGAAGGACGAGCTGCTGGGCGAGAAGCCCGAGGTCAAGCAGAAGTGGGCGTCGCGGCTGCTGGCCAAGCTGCGCAAGGACATCCGGCCCGAGTGCCGTGAGGACTTCGTGCTGAGCATCACCGGCAAGAAGGCGCCGGGCTGCGTGCTCTCCAACCCCGACCAGAAGGGCAAGATGAGGCGTATCGACTGTCTCCGGCAGGCGGACAAGGTGTGGCGGCTGGACCTGGTCATGGTCATCCTGTTCAAGGGCATCCCGCTGGAGAGCACCGACGGCGAGCGCCTGGTCAAGGCTGCGCAGTGTGGCCACCCGGTCCTGTGCGTGCAGCCGCACCACATCGGGGTGGCCGTGAAGGAGCTGGACCTCTACCTGGCCTACTTCGTGCGTGAGCGAGGTGAGGTGCGGTGCGGCGGCCCGAGCGGGGTGGCGGGCAGGGAGAGCGTCTGACGGGGGTGACATGGTGCAAGGAGGGTCTGAGGGAGGAGGCCGGTGCGTATAGATGTGATGTGGTAGTCTGAGGGGGGAGGTGGGCCTGGGAGAGCATCTGATGGGGGTGACATAGTACAAGGAGAGTCTGAGAGAGGAGGCTGGTGCATACAGATGTGTTGTGGTGGTCTGAGTGGGGAGGTGGGCCTGGGAGAGTGTCTGATGGGAGTGACATGGTACAAGGAGAGTCTGAGGGAGGAGGCCGGTGCATATAAATGTGATGTG